GATTGCCTGTGGCTGTATGTGTGTTATTTATTAGAGGTTTGAACTAGCTTGTTTCGTAAACTGTTTATTTGATGAGCATTATAGTTAGTTGAAAATCCATATCTTGAAAAAAAAAAAATCAATATATAAGCGTTTTGAGAATAGATAATTTGTGCAATAATGAATTCGATTGAATGCCAGCATGTTGATGAAATATTAAAAAATCATACTAAAATGTGAACCCATATGGGACGGTAGGTGTTCGGTAACCGATAATCGATTACCGATAATAATGAGTCGATACAATTCTGTTGATAATCGATTACCGATAATAATGAGTCGATACAATTCTGTTTATTTTCTCGTCGATGCAGTGGTTTTCGGTTTTTGGTACCAACCCTCATTAGTGTTGAAACAACATTTCATTTTCCATTACAATGGATACAACACGCAATTGGCGTAATGACTAATGAGCCTGCTGATATTATAATAACTTACTGCAATCTCGTGTTCTTTGGTCAAAAGTTTGTGTTTTCACTCGACAGCAACAAACAAATTGAATTTGTTTGACAATATTAGTTATAAATAAATATACCGCCAGCCACGTGAGAAAGAAATTATTTGAAAATTATTACTAGTAAATTATTAATAGTGCCTCCCTTCCATGATATAATAACTAATAAGCCAGTGTGGGCTCAGCCATCAATTTTGTGCATTAAGTTAATCCCATCAAAGCACGTCAACCAAACAGTCCACTTGAATTTATAAGGATAATATATTGACATCTGACCAAGCAGTAGGACTATTTTATTCTTGAAACTTCTCTCTTTAACAATTTCATTTAAATAATGTCGGAGAGGATGTTTTAAAATTCATATTTATTGATTTTGTCCATTCTATTTCAACTCATTTTCGATTACAAAATTATAAATTACCAATCATTTACGTCCAAATAAAGAAGAATTCAATTTTACCCAACAGCGCTTGGATGAGATGGCTTGGGTCTCTTCCAGCTTAACTAGTGGTCTCGTGTTCGAGCCCTGTGAATACAGCAGTGTTAA